AACAGGTTTTGATAGAAATAACAATCATTGCCCCACCCAACATCCCCAGATGAGGTTTTGGGCTGCTGGAAATGCACCAAGTTTGTACAGCCTCTTCCAACTACTGTATCCTGTCTAGCCTCCTTATTGCTGTAAGGAAGCACCGATACTAGATATCTTAGGGATTATGAAAATCAAATTTGTATGTATACACCACATACCAGAAACACTTGCAAGACTTTAATGTATTGTCACCTGAATTAATTTTTATAGTTAGCAAAATATATATATATATATATATACACACACACACACGTGCACACACACAGTCATTGTATTATGTCACCCTGATCCACTTGGAATTCCCTGGTCCAGTGTGTCATACTAAATGAGAGTCAGTTGAGGTTACCTTTGAGGCTGAATTATCATTATAAAAGCAAAATGTCATACAAAAGCCATGAATTTCCATATGCTCAATGTCTAGAGTACCTTGATCTGACTGATAGTAAATGATGAGGCTGGCTCAGTTTAAATCAGCACAGCTGGAAGGCTGTTCCTATACATAATCAAGCAATCCCTGACCATATGAGCCATTCCATCAACTGAGGAATATCAGCTTCACCTCTGAGAACTGCGGCCACCCCCCACCCCGTCAAGGCCAGAGAACAATAAAGGCATTTTAAGCCTGATTTGCAGATTTACGGAGCGATCTCATTAGATCTGAGCCCAAACTGCTGCTTACAAGGTGAGGGAAATAAAGTATACCGCAACTACAATGCAAAGATGAGATATGAGAAATTTCAGTAGATGAGCCAAGTGTAAAGAAAGCAGTAATATCAGATTACTTGACTCAGAAGATTGCTGGACCATATCAGAAATCTGTGTAGTCAGCACTTCTTTTGGAGGATTCAGCCAACTTGTCCCTTGAGAGAAGTCCCTAAAGCAGAGGTGTATTACCCTCTTGTTTTGTGTCCAACAAGCACACCGATTGCTGAGCAAACATTGTTTTCATATAACCACAGGCCCCTCACAGAGGACGTGCTTGGGAGGATAGGAAAGGATGCTGTTACTGAGCAGCGAGGTCTAGCACAGAGGGTGAAGAGCTATGTGATCCCATAAAAGAAAAAATTTATTTGCCCAGAATAGCAGATGTTTCTTTATCTTTTTAGGCCAACCAATCAGAACTACAACACCCTGCTATTAGCAAGACCATTTTCAATTCAGCTTTAACCTGTCTTGCCCACACTAGAACTGGAAAGGATCCGGGGAGAAAGACACTGGTATTATTGAGAACTTATGTTATCTCCTTAAAGCTGAAGGTGTTGTATAGTACAGGAGGGGATCCTTAATTGCTTACATGCCTTTAAAAAAATAGTAAGTCAGAAAAAATGGATGGATACTATGAAGAAGTATGTCCCCACATTACCACTGCATTGCTAAACTCCTGCCATCTTCCAAATTACTAGGTAACACTATCTTTGCACTTAGTTATTATAGTTTTTTAAAATGTACTTTGTGTTTAAAGAAAGAGATGAATGAGAAGGAAGGGAAAAGAGAAAAGGCTGTTAAGGTATTTTAGCACCTCATCCATAACTATGATGGCCTCAGCAGATAGATCCACTAAATCTCATGTTTATGAGATTATACCTCAGAGCAAAGCTTATTTCAAGAGCACCCATCATCAGATCCAACTGCTGAAGCGATTCAGCGTACACTTAATGTTCTAATCTACTTTTTTCCTTTCATTCAAGAGTGCTGGTCAGGGATGGCAGGAAAAGAAAATCAACAAAAAGTATTTTATTTGGAAGGAAAAAAAAAAAGAAAAAATATTTCAGAAGCATCTAGATTCTCTTCTTGACTTGGTTAATTGATTTGTCAAACCAGTAACAAAAAAAAATCCCAACAGGATTAACTGTTAATAATAGGTGAATATGTATAGAACAAAATTCCTAAGTTCCGTCTTTTCAATTGCACCTGCAAATACGTACGTACAAATATATATGTATATACAATATAAATATATATATAAATGAAGTCAACTTTAAATCCTTAGCATGACAAGTTTTATCCCTCAGACATATCAAGAACTTTGTAAGCAAAGACACATGAAGTCCAAATCACAGCTCCCCCTGAACCACATTTCTTACTATTGTGAAGATCCATGGAGTTAGTCACCCTTCATAGCAAGGGAAGTAAACCCATACTGCTTCAGCAGCCTAGCAGTCAGCTGCTGTGAAGGAGTCTGAAAATAATGGATATAAAATACTTAATCAGGTCTTAACACCTTGTGGCTGCTTACCTACCAGTATAAACAATTACAAGGGCACCTGTATTATGTATCTTAGAAAACAAAATAGAGAATAAACTGATGTTACAAATATTGCACTACAACCACGGGTTTAACCTGGTTGGTTTTTTTTTAATGTATTACAGCACCTATTTTTATTCTTTTCTTCGGTTGCCACCATCTGCAAAAGCTTGTTCCATGATGTAGCACGTACAACATCAGTCATCCACAGCTTGAGTTTTGAAAGGAAAAAATGTAGCTGTTTTAATACACAGAAGAATGAAAAATTATCAGTTTAACAGATATTCCTCTCTTTTCCCTTCTAGATCTTGTATAGCTTTATCAATTGAAATAATTGCAAGCACATTAATTATGTGCATGAGACATTTCTGTGGCTCCCAAGCAAAGCAGAGGTCTGACAAAATACATTACTAATGAGCAATAATAAAGTCAAAGACAATCCCACGATTTGATCTGTGGAAGTGGGTCCAGTCACTTTTGCTCAGCCTGCTTTAATAAAATGCCCTACATGAAAAATCACAATTGTACCATGCCATGTGGATTAACCCCACACAAAACAGCCTGATACTACTCTCACAGTGGAGTTTTGCAATTGATTTGAAATTAAAAAGGAAAAAGTACATACTTAAATAATTGTTAATAAAACCTCTTTGGGGGTCTCTCACCTACTATCAGGCTAGCAGAACACATTTCCAGATCTAAATTTCAAAAGTAGCCCAATGAATATAAGAGAATTATGAAAACGTACTGATTTTTCTCATCTGTATAACTAACACTTAAAAATATAATGTACTGTAAAATTAAAAATTACTTTAATTGAATGAAGAAAAATAACCAGAGGAAGTGGATACAAACTACTAAATAATCAGAGTAGCTTCTATAACGCTAACAACAGCCACATCAGAACTAGCAGAAACATGATTGTAAGTTTAGGCTGAAATTGTCTGACTAACTGTTCCTCCATCTAAACACAGCCCTGCTGCGATACATATTGCAGTTCAGATGGCAAGGGATGCAACATCACATACCCACTTTCAGCGCTTGAAAGTACACATTGTACAGACTGCAAATGAGAAAAAAAAAACCCTAGTCACTAATGATTTGACATTATCTAAATAATACTTGGCACTCAAATTGTAACTATATTGCAGTATTTAACTTAGGATAAGTGTTTAAATTAACTTTTGATAACCTCAGATTTTCAGGCAGACCACAAGTTTTGCTGTCTTTTTCAGTAAATCTGTAGAGCAACACAGAAGTTAACAACGGCCCACGACAGCTCATTTTTCAAAACCAATAAGGTCCTCTCAACTGAGTCATGAAAACAGCCAAGTTTTTCACAAACCAACATCCCAGGTGCCATATTCTAACCAGGGTGAGGGAATGCTTAGATGCGGAGTGCTAACCTGACAGATCGGCTGTTTCATCATTTTTAAAGCATCTTTATAGCCTTTCTCTGGCGTGTGGTAACTACTGGTCTTCCTTTATCTTCCTCGACTACCCTAACAGCATTGCCTAGGAAGACAGCACTGAAAACACGTAGGTGTTGGCATAGGGAATCATTCTTTTGTTCTCTGCAGATGGAGGGAACACCACCTTTGTCAGGCAGCACAGAAGCGTGCGCGAGCGAGCAACCCACTTCGCTTCAGCTGCCTCCCCATGACGGGCGGCCTCTGTTAAATACCCGTCAGGAAACACTCACAGACAATAAACAAATAGTCATCGCTGACCAATCACTAGTCTGACGTCTTGTGTTTAAATACGCATATGTATCTGTATGTTTGTGAAACGGGCATTCAGCAGTCTCAAAGAACGGCGAGTTTGGTTCGGCAACGAACAGCGTCCGGAGCGCTTCTTCCCTAGGATCGATCCTGCCTCCTGGCAGCGCCTGGGGAGGGCTTCCGACGCGAGGCACGGACCGGTCGCGCCGCTACCACACACGCCGGCCAAGCAAAACTCTGCTCAGCCACACGACAGCGCCCTCCCCTCAGGCCGGTGCCCACCATCCACCTCCCGCGCCGACCCGACGCCCGGCCGTAACG